ACTGAGGTGAAACTCAGAATGATGAAATTGGAAATGAGGAAGAAACCAGCTAAATCAACTCGTGGATGGCAACACAATAACTTGAAAATCTCTCATGAATTTGTATCACAATGCAATATCCGTTGAGACCATGATAATTTGAACAACGGAGAAAGTTATATGGATATACAACTTCTTTATTATAATGTAAGCGGCGTTTCGGCGGCGGTAACCTGGGATAAGAGGACACGCATGAATGAGCGTGCAGAACAGGTTGTTCCCTGTGTAATATGGTCCATGGTATTTCGGCTGCCCATAAAATTGACACTGTGACTTCATCCATTTGTGAGAACTCCCAGTTGTGAGACACATTAATTAATGATTCAGTGCACATAGGTGGTGTTTCCACATCCCTACAATGAAAGTGGGATCAGCCCAGTTGTTGAAGAGTACCCACAGGAGCCATAGTTCATTGATGAGTTGATTAATAAAATAGATTATCAAAGATTTTATTTACACAGAAGAAAATGTTCATTAAATATTTTATTTATTCAGAAGAATATGTAATTTTTATAACACATTTTTATTGACTATTTCTGAAGTTTGAAAGTCATCTTGGTTTGACCATATTTAATTATTATTTATGAAAATGAATTGGGATAGGTGAACAAGGATTACTGCTTATGTTAACACCGCACCCATGCAACATAGTTTCATTGAGTTACCTCCACAAGATTCAGTTACATAGCAAATCAGTAATTAGCTAGGGTTAATCCATTCTATCAGACAGGGGAGTATGGTGTGTTTTCTTCGTTAATTACCTACTCCACTGTCTCATAACTGGGAGTCTCACAATTGGGAGTTCTCACAAATGGGAGTAGACCACCCCCAACAGGCAGCAGTGGGTTACCTGGGATAAGAGGACACGCATGAATGGGCGTGCAGGGCAGGTTGTTCCCTGTGTAATATGGTCCAGGGCATTTCGGCTGCCCATAAAATTGACACTGTGACTTCATTCATTCATTTATTTCAACATACATATTATCATCATCTTCAATCGCATCAACAGTATTATGAAAAACAACCATTAGGCAATATTAGCACTACCATCAGTAAACATACATTATTACAAAATATCACATTATACACAATATCACAAGCATACATCATTATGCATAGTCCCACAAGGTGAGACACACCGTAAGCAAGTGGAGTCTCGACACCATCTTGCAACAGTCTATCCTCGCGGTCTAGCCGTTCTTCAAGCTGGCGATACTTGTTCTTCTTAGGCCTCACACAACCATCACCCTGCAACTGCATCAATGTTATTTCTGTGTAGTTCTGTTCTGACTTTATCAGACTGATATGTCAACGAGATAAGTGATGTGTTCAGTTTAAACATAACATGAATCATTAATTTAATCACTCACTCGTATTAGTGTCAGTGCAGGTGAACTGTTCACGAGCTCAACACAGTGGTAAGGTGAACTGTGTTCACCAGCTCAGGGGTAACTAAAAAAGTGTATCACCTGTTGTTTCAAGAGATTAGCATGGTTCAGTGACCTGGAACGTTTAAACAATACCTGCTGGCAAACTGGGGACACACCGTTTCGGCGTAGCTGCTAAAACCGTTATCAAGCAAGTGATGTCTACTGGGTAGTCCCGTAAGTTAGACCAGAGACCACATAATAGATCTATTATTTGGTCTCTGGTTAGACCTTTGGGTCGAGGTAAAAATCCTTGGATGTTTGATGTTGTGACGACGGTGTTGTTTTAAGGGAAAAAGACACTAGATTTCTACAACATGTAAAATGTGTTAACTCAGCTCACCCAGGAAACGAAATAAGACACGTGTACCAGAATGTGAATGAATTTGCCAGTTATGGCAAATGCACAATTATTATACTCGAAAGTTTTCCCTACCTTTCGTGGTGGAAGATACATTTGTGTAAATGTTCATAATGAAAAATAGGAAAATGGATCACGTGAAGATGCATGCAGAATGACTGCATACAGATCAACACTCTCAACTGTCTTAATGACATAGTTTCTAAAATACCAAGAGACCACAACCACGGACCTGTACACAACGAAGTCAAGATAAATCTTTTCGGCTGTAGCAAAAATATTGACAATTAAAAGCAATCTCAATCTTGAATATATTGTGTCAGTGGCGGATCCAGGGGTGGGGGTGGGGGTGGGTGGGGTGTAATACAGTTACCTGTAGATGATAGATGTACACTGTGTACATAAACAATGTGTATAAATCATAATGGAAAGTGTGTGGTTTTGCCCACGATAGAATTTATTCAACAATGAATACTATGACGACATACCGAGTGTCACAGTTTTGATGTTTTTTTTCCTTTGTGAGAAAGTTTGACAAGGCCTTGGTGGTAAAAAACGATGCTTTTTCAGTGCTTCTGTATTCTCAAATCATCTACTATACAATAGTAGTATAAATTTAAGAGCTTCGGAACCTCAATGGAGGCTCTGACCTAGAAACATCATCCTTAAATAGGCTTTCTGACGTCATAGCGCACTTCCTGACCCTAATCTACACCAGATGTGAGTCTCTGACGTCCTTCGACCTTTGGAAATGAATACCTCACACACCTGAGTCAACAACATCCATCTAATTTTAGTTCATTGTCACCCACACGCTGTCTCCACTCCCATCTGACATCATATAATGCACCTAATAGCATCATCGATGTACCCAACGACTTTCATTTTAAGAGCTTCGGAACCTCAATTGAGGCTCTGACCTAGAAACATCATCCTTAACTGGGCTTTCTGACGTCAAGGCGCACTTCCTGACCCTAATCTACACCAGATGTGAGTCTCTGACGTCCTTCGACCTTTGGAAATGAATACCTCACACACCTGTGTCAACAACATCCATCTAATTTTAGTTCATTGTCGCCCACACGCTGTCTCCACTCCAATCTGACATCATTTAATGCACCTAATTGCATCATCGATGTACCCAACGACTTTCTATTTTTTTGGGAGGGGTAATGCACCTAATAACATCATCGATGTACGTAATGACTTTCTATTTTGGGGATTCATCGTCGCCCACGTTCTGTCTCCACTCCCAGATGACATTTAAATTTTGTGGGGAGTCAAATATTACACACACACACACCCACACACACACACACCCACACACCACCAAAACAGATCTATACATATATATATAGATATAGATATACAAGAGCTTCAAGTTTTAGCTGCACTTACACTTGCTCCCCAGCCATCATTTGCCTCAACTGTTTTCCAATATACCAGGAGAATGTCTAAACGTGCTGCTTCAGAAGATTCTACCAGTACCGACAAAGTCTTCAAACATATGGTGACAACTTTACCATTAGATGAACTCATGAGAAAAGCTGATGAAAATGGTATACTAATCAAAGAAGATACAACACGATGTCGAGTCAGCGAGCTGCCACCATGTCTTATAATGAAGATAGACTCCTACAAGGCAGTGGACGTCCGCAACGAGTCATTGTGGAAGGTGGTTTTAACTCCAATCATGCAGAAGGATGACGCTCGTCGTTTTGATATTCTACTAAACAACCAATACACACAGGCCCTAGAGTTTTCAACACATCTGGTATTCAAGGGACAGGGCCAATCAAGAAATAATTGCACCTTCAACAGACTTGAATTTTTTTCCTGCATGGAAGATGGAATTAATGAGGAGGAGGAAGAGGAAGAGGACGGAGAGGAAATGCCGGAAGCCCTGACACAATCTCTGTCTTCTTAGGTGAGTAATGATAAAATATTACTCAATTCTTCAAATGTTTAAGGATAATGTACTTGAGTGTGTAGCAGTTAATGTCACAAATGTTCTTTATGCAAATGCAAAGTTGTGTAAGGTTTTATTTGATATTATTTTATCTTAGAATATCACATTATATATTAGTTTTCTTGGGTGAATCAGAAGATAAGTTTATCCTCAATAACCATTTGTCAAGATAACAGATTATCTTCCCCGTTGGTTGTAATGTATGACCGTTGTAAATATATCATTATTAGTCGTCTATATTTTTACTATTTCATTTCAGATAGAGAAGACTTCTTGCTGGAATGTGTTTACATCAGTGTAATGTCATAGTAATCAGCCAATGTTCCATTATTGTAAACAGTCAGTATTCCAATATGATCCGACATTCTAATGTGAATCAATATTTTAATCATTTCTCAATAAACAATTAATTATAAGTATTTGTTTGTTTTGGGGTTGTTTTTTTTTGTTTTTGTGTGTTGCTATGTTCATAGTATAGATAGATATCACCGTTACCCAAGACCCTCAATTCACAAATAAAATAAAACGGATACAATTAATCAAGAGATAAAGATTATCTATTTTTTCATTATACTTCAATTTTGAGAATGCATTATCGTACTCTCTTGATTAATTGCACCTGATTTATTTTTGTGAAACAGTTTCCATCTTCACCTGTCAATGTTGATACTACACATGTGTTAACAGAAAATCTGCGCTCTTCGTTCTATGTAGACCAGAATGAAGTCTAAGCAAAAATAATTTCGGCTATGATTAAAAACAACACCATAGATGATAAGACAACACAATAATATCTCATAAAAATTATATTAACATTCCAACCCATACAGAACAAAGAGCACAGATTGACAACTCATTTCTCAAGGACCATAGTATCGATTCAACATCAAAGGCACGTGATTCCAATTGCACCAATAAGAAAGGATTTAAATCAGATCAATTCAATCGATGTCAGGATTTATTTTTCTCGAATATGTTACGGATTACAATTTTCTCACAACAACTTCAAGCGATATAATCATGGGTTGTATTCATGGAATTGTGACAAACGAACTAATCTGATTACTATGGATTCACATGACAACATCGAATAATGGTAATAAACTTCCACACAAAAAGGTTGTAGTTATATGTCAGTTAACTTTCAAGGAAAACGATTTTAGTTTAAATATCATTCAAGAAAAAACAAACTCAACACACTTACGACTGGGTCATATGTCAAGTAACAAGTTTTATTAATAACATCTCGTATATTCTTCCTAAAACGGAAGGCAATACCCGACGCTATCGCAACCACCAACGACACCACCAAAGAGACTACGGTTGTCCCTCACAGACTTTAGATCTGGAAAGAAAGAGAGAAAAAACACACGATAGTTTAGTATATGTGTGATGGAGTGGCAATTACAGTCATACTTTCAACTAATATACTTTTAGTTATAGAACTTGTAGTAGGAATTGTAATAGGTGGCCAATTGTCTGAAAGAAACCCATAAAAACATAATCAAATTGAATTTATAGTGTTTTCTTTATGCTAGAAACATCCTAGATTGAAAATTATTACAGAATCATACATCATATTGACCAAATCAAATCTCTGGAGTGAGGTACCCAGTTTACAATTGAGTAAACTAAAACATAAAGAATTTTGTCCGTTGATACTACATATTACTATATCCATAATTAGGTGTTCACACAGTAATCGTTATCTTCATGTACTCACCCTTACAAGATATTCCATTAACCCTTCATACTCGACACCCCAGGGCTCTGAATGTCATCACACCTCGCCCCCACTCCTAGCATGCTACCGAAATTAGTTGATAACATAGATTGAAGAATCTGAGAGGGGTAGCATGTTAAATATGTTTATTTCAATCAAAACGTAACTTATTTTGGTATTAAATTATACAGCTATCACGTTTCTCCATTTGCAATCCCATGCATAAACCCTCTGCAGCCTACACTTACTACAGAAGGCTTGGTGGTAGAACATAACCCTACTACGGTCATCAATGCCTACATTCTTAGTTTTCGACACCTTAAATCTATGCATGGTTATGTTTTCATTTACTAATGAGAATGTTTTCACATGTTTCATGTCAATGAAACTGCTTCAAGGTCCTCTGGTGATTGAGTAAAAATGTGGGCTATCGTTAACAATATATTCTCGAGACAAAATAATCAGATAAAAAAATAAAGGAAACGGTATTGAAACATAGACAAAACTGACATAGAAAAATAACATTATGCCAAGTACACACATCTGATATAACTCAAGTTTTGTCATATAATCTAAAGTAAATGATTCCGTACATAGTGTTATAGGGACCAATGCATGCATCCATCGTCCAAATATTTGTACTCAAGACATGTAAGACTTTATTGTAACATATAAATATATATCACGCTAAGCTGTATTTTAATCACTACCATACATCCTTATCACTACCGCATCGTACATTGACTCGTCAGCCCATTCATTATTGTATAAGACATTTATAACCTTCATCGGTAATCTCCCTTGGTCGTGTCTGTCATCACATCAACTGGCCAAGGAAGTGCTATTGTTTTTCTGTCTGTCCATTGATGAGTCGTCGCCTGTCCATTGTTGTAAAAAACTGTTTATCATCCAAAACTGTGTTCCACAGGAGATATCGCTTGTGTGAGATCAAACGATATCTCCTTTGACAGTAGATTTTGTACAATGCCCTGACAATGCTATGACGTCATGTACTTGATGACGTCACAATGCTATGACATCGCTGCACTGCAAGTCTAATGGCAGTACCATGTTCAAAGATGTACATTTTTCATTGAAAATTAATGAAGAGTGATTTTGGATGATAAATAGAATCTCACCCTCGTGTCTTCTGATATCAAATATATCAACACTCGGCAAGCCTCGGATATTTGTAACTTTATCAACTCGTGTTGATATAATTGATATCAGAAGACACTTGGGTGAGATTCTCTATATATATACTTAGTATGCTCACATCTAGACAGTGCAGGAGTACGAGTTCGGTATTTGGACTGTCTGTTGGGACGACCACGAGCAGGATAATGCCACTCGTAGGAAACGCCCTGGGGGGTTGAGCATGAACTATGCTCACCTAAGTTATGTCTTGTGTATTTGTTTGTCATGTAACTAAAGAAGTTTGAGCTCAACGTATTTATTCGTCTTGTCAACGTATTCTACCTACACTTCGTCTTAATTCTGAGCTAATTCCCCAGTCGACACATACACCACGCGTTCACAATAGTTTCCTTATTAACTTGAGTGAGCTGTTTATTAAAATGTTTTGACACTTTTTTAACTTGAAATGAATTAGGTCAGCAAATAATGTAAACTCAAAATGAAATAATACGACCCCTCAACAGATGTATCTGTTATAATAAACAACACGTCGACATGCATTAACCCTACACAATAAAACATGATTGTTTACCATATACATTCTCATTTCTCATTCTTTTTACGTGAGAAAACACCTCAAAGTTGTTATATAACAGGAAAATTAGCATTTAGTTTTAAAATATATATAGAAAACTTGTAATACATTTATGATTTTTACACATATATGATCGAAGGTCTTATCGAAATGGTGCTTCTCTAAGTCCGATTCGGCTCAATTGTAAATATGCCAAGATCCTTAATCTCCTTCAACTTTAGGAGAGGTTCTACTGGAAATCCAGCCCTTTTAATTCTTAGGGTCCTCTTGTCTCTGTCGTAGATGAAGGAGGTGTCGTCCTCCTCGATCGTCAGTAAGACACGGAAAGTTGGAATAAAGTCCCTCTTGTTGAACAGTGTTTGTTCATCCAGAAGCTGGTTGATTATCCACTTTAAACGTCCCGACACTTGATAATTTAGTAGTTGTCCCCTAACAGAAATCTGAAATTCACTCGTTGTTAAAAAGTAACAGCAAATCCATTATCATGAACTTGAGGAAACTGTTTTGTCTTTTTGAGGAAATTTCTACCGAGGGGTTCATTTTATATAAAATGTTTATTCGTGGGTTGATCGAATTCGGAGCGTAAGTTCTAAATGTAGGAGTATGTAATTATGTATATATAAGCAAGTATATTTTAATTTGTATTTTAATCACTAAGTCTAGCCCTAGCTTAACCACTCAATCTAACCTGCTTCACTTTCACAATAGCACTCTCACCCTTGCGCTTACGTTGTCTATTGTATCTATTGTCTTGCCCCAGCCCCAGGCTCCTAGTTTCAATAGCAGGGTGTTTTGTGGGTCAGCTATCATTTTCCCTTCAGTCTGTCTGGTCACTGGTCACAGCTAGCAACAGCTTATAACAGGTTAGTTTACATATGGATTGTGTATTTTATGTTTTCATGTTTAGTGTGTATGTATTATTTCTTAACTTCCTTTAAAGCATGTATCATATTATATGTGGTAAATATTAATCAAATTAACTATCTGTTACATGCGCCAAACTTTGCATGAATGAATGAATGTATGTATGAGGGAAGGCTTATTAGAACAGATATTTTATGTACAGTAGATTGATAATGTACAGAAGTAGAATGTTATATATTATTGGATTTGTATATGTTTATGTTCAGGTGTGGCAAACATAGTTCCTGACGTTTGTGACGGTAACGGGCACAGTGCCATACACTCGGTGAGGGTTCCTTTGTATTATATTGTAAACAATCATGTTATGCACTTGTATGATACCACATGTGTATCTTCAAATATAAACATTATATACAATTGTAGAACTTATTGCTAAGCCTCACATGTATTGTAGCGCATTTTGATGCAATGTATTTATTCCTTTATAGGGCCTTCTTCAGTTATTGCCAATAAACTGACATCTACGAAAAATATTCGCCTTTGTGGTATCTACAAAACCACTCCGGTTACATTGGCGTCGTCGGCAGGATGTAGATGTTCAGAAGTAACAGTGATGCAACCAGTGACAAGGGACAATGATGGACATCAACTTTCCATAGATGGAAGGGAACCGTAATGACCAAGTAATGTAACACTACGGTACACAACCAGACACTTTGTTACACATGAGTTTCGGCCTTGAGCTTACTACTTGGCTTGTAGATATTTGAGACTCTTGTATTGTGCAAGTGATATTGACTCTGATTGAAAACGCGTGTCACACTCTGTATATCCCATTGTGCGTTTTATGAATGACATTTATATATATGAAGAGAAGAGGATACCTATGCTGTGAACAAGCTAACCAAAATTTATTTTGGATTATGTTCTTGTATGCAATGCAATAATTCAGAATTTGCCTGTTATGTATTTGCTTTGTGGGTGTGTTTTTGCGCAGTGCACTTTGTTTATAGTGTTGATCATGTCGGCCGGTCATTAGTCACATCATGTTAGTTTCATCAGTATATAGTCATTAGTTAGATTATTTATTAGTCTTGTCAGTTGATAGTGTGTAATTAGGTTATTTGTTTGTTCTCTCAGTAGATCATCAGTAGACATATTGTCTATGTCAGTAGGTAGCTAGCAGTTAGGGCATAAACTAAACAGTCCCTGAGTTGGAGGCTCAGGTGGATCAGCCACATAACGTGTCAGAACTTTGCTGAATAGACGCGTCCTCAGGCACTTTATCTCCAGTGGTCGTGGGTTTTAATAATAATAATAATAATAATAATTGCATTTATATAGCGCATCATTCACTAATAAATGCTCTGTGCGCTTAAGATGGAAATTGACACTTGAAAAGAAATGTTTTGAGGCCAGTCTTAAAAGATGTTAGTGACTCGCTGGTTTTGAGTTCTCTGTGTGTTCCACTGATGTTCATATATTTGTAAGCAAGTTATGCTCGTGGTTTGCACTGAGTGGTAAACGTCTGAGACCTGCATCATTTGGGTTTCCCTCACACATCAAGCTGACATGCCGTGATATAACTGAAGTATTGTTTACAGCGGCAGTACACCAAGCTCACCCAGTCCTGTAGTTAGTCATTACTAGTCAAATTAGCTTAGTTAGTTAATTAGTTAGTTTGAGATTAGCTATTTGTGATATTGTAAGTATTCTATTAGTACATCGCATTTAGTTGATGTTCAACATCTGTTTGTCGGGATGATACATTTGTTTTGTGCGAATGATGTATGCCTGATTAGCACCTACTTATCACTCAAATACCTTGAATAAACATTTAAAGTATAATGTAGTTCCACAATAAAGTACTTAAATCAGTTTATATTCAATCCATAAACCGGTAAATATTTTATGGTGTTTGTTGGTCATATAACTCAGTTGGTCATAAAGTGTGTGTTTTTTGTCTCTTCTGGGTTTATTTCTTGGTCCCTCATCTTGAATATATTGTCCTTTTCTTCCTTTTGTGTGTGTTTATCTGCAGCGGTCGCAAAGCTTACACCTGCACATCATGACTAACCACTGCACCAGTATAGCATATTCAGTACCATGTTGAAGGTTAGGTTTTCATTCTCGGTAGGGCATCACTTTGAACATTTTGCTGCGCTGTGGTGATCCACCACATTCATATTTCTTCTGTGCTAACTGTGCCATACTTTACAGTTAGTGTTGTTTCCCCTCCCCAACATTTTGCTCATTGCTTGCTGTTAGTACCACTAACAGACATGTCGGAACATATGTCAGAAGAGGAAGTTGCTCAACTTGTTGCAACATTCAAGCAGCTTAAAGTAAAACCTAAGGCTGAGTCCCCAGAAAGTTTGTTAAAATGGATGGCTGATTATTCAGCTGTCTCTGTGAAAACAGAAGGTGTTTCACATGACTCTGAACCTCAGTATCCTGGTCCCCCATCAGCAGCTCAGATGGTTACTGTATCTCACCCTCCAAGTTTACCTTGCTTTTCCGGAGATGAAACTAAAAGTAACGTGTCTTATGACCTATGGAGATATATGAAGTGGATTGCATATTGAAGGATAAAGCACATACAAGGGCAACAATCGAACATTCGATCAGGAAGTCTTTGAGAGGGGAGGCAGCAAGGGTTGCCATGCGATTAGGTTCCACCGCTTTTCTTTCTGCTCTATTGGATAAACTGAAGTGTGTTTTTGACACAAGTGATAGTCCCGTAAATGTACTGGCGGCCTTCTACACAGCACGACAGCGGGAAGATGAGGATGTCAACACTTGGTGTTGTCGTCTAGAAAGATTTATTGCAAAAGCGGTAGAAGCTGGTGAGGTTAGCTCTCTAGACACCAACAAGCTCCTTCATTCCATGCTTTGGACAGGACTTAAGCCATCAATCAAAGATGTCAGCGGACACAAGTTTGATCTGTTTTCGGACTTTGACGTTTTGCGGCGAAACTTCGACAGATTGGCGAGCGTATAACACTCAACGTAGAGGGAAGGAAGGTAGAACTAAAGGGAAACTGTCTGCCACAAGTATGTCTGCTGTTTCTGAAACACCCCTCTAACAGAGATGAAGGAACTTCGAGGGAATGATCAAGAGCCTTACTTCTTCTGAGGTTGCATCTCTGAAGAAACAACAGCAGCCTCCTCTGTATCACTATCAACATCCTACCGGAGAACAAGATAACATTAACTCCAGGACTTATAATCAAACTGACAAGGGGCAGCACTGGATATTATTCTCAACCTTCTTTCCAGAAACATCAGCATGATCATCTATCATACAGAGGAAGATCCAGAGGACAACCTTTCGAGAGAGATGTGCAGTGTTTTCGTTGTGGGCAGTTTGGGCATATAGCCTCAGGATGTAGAGTCAGGATGGATCACAGTCGTCAGCATTTAAAAAGGGAGGCGGCCTATATGAAGGGGTGGTCCATAGGTCTCAACAGACGACAGATGGGTACTCAGAGATATGAAACAACTGCACTTGTAGGAAATGCCAATGAAGTTGATGTCTGTATTCAAGGAATCAAGACAAGGGCTTTATTGGACACAGGAGCTACAGTCTCTACAGTGAGTCAGGCATTTTATGATCAGTATCTCTCCGGTATTCCTATCACCCCAATCACAAATGTCTTGGATATTGAGTGTGCTGATGGACAGCCCCTGCCATACTCAGGTTACATTCAGCTGGACCTAGAGGTTAATGGGATTGATGCTGAACGCCAGCCATGTCTTCTGCTTGTTGTTCCTACAAGCAACTATAATTACAAGGTACCGGTTTTGCTTGGAACCAATATGTTATCAGTTTACTTAGGAACCTGTAGACAACAACATGGGGAGAAGTTTCTGCAAGATGCCAACCTTTATACACCTTGGTATTTAGCTTTTAGGTGTATGGTACTGCAGGAACGGGATCTTGTTCGACAGGAATTTAAGCTCCGGACTAGTCAGAAGTGTGCAGGAGTGAAGAAGGTTGTCATCCCACCCAATTCAGAAGTCACTATCACTGGCTACATTGACAAGGCACTTCATTACCGCAATACATGTGCTATATTGCAAAGTACTAGCCGTTCAGCTATTCCTGATGATCTTGACATCTCAACCAGCTTGATAACATACAGAGAGAGGATTTGTAGATGTCAACATTTTCAAACATTATTACCACAAGAACAGTAGTCATTCAACCCCCGTGCCCTTTTGTGTGAGATACGGCCTGTTGTTGTTGAAGAACAGCCTTCTATGACAGATGTGTCACAGGACAAGAGATTCACTCTTTAACAGGATGGATATAGAAACTTCACAGATCTCAGGCACTCAATGCGAAGAGGGATTAAGGGTTATCTCGGACTACTTGGACATATTCTCTCATGGTGATCTTGACCTTGGACACACTAGTGCAGTGAAACACGGATAGATCTCATAGATGAGCGACCCTTTAAACAGCGACATAGGAGAATTCCGCCATCTATGCATGCTGAAGTAGAGATCATCTGCACCAACTATTAGCAAATTAGGTCATCCGTCGATCACGATCACCTTGGTCTTCAATGTGGTATTAATACGCAAGAAATGGGACTCTAAGGATGTGCATTGATTTTAGACAGCTAAATCAGAGAGGACTATTAAGGATTCCTCACGCTCTCTCCTAGGTTGAGGGAGATGTTTGATACACTTAGAGGATCAAAATTCTACTCCCACAATGGACATGAAGAGCGGATACCACCATGTTGACTTAGAAGAACATCACAAGGAGAGAACTGCTTTCTCATTAGGACCCTCGGATTCTTTGAATTCAACCCCGGATGCCCTTTGGTTTGTGCAACAGTCCGCCACTTATCAGCGCCTCATGAATGACTGTTTTGAAGATATGCACTTAAAGATATGCCTTATCTACATGGATGACGTCATTGTCTTTGCGGATACCTTTGAAGAACATCTGGACAGGCTAAAGAAGGTGTTTGAGAGAGGCTCGAGATTCTGGAGTTCAAGCTCGCTCCAGATAAGTGCAGCTTCTTCAAAGACAAGATCAAGTTCTTAGGACATATTGTATCAGGACAAGGCATTGAACCAGATCCGGCTAAAGTTGAAAAGATAAAGACATGGCCCTAAACCAAAGAATCCAGCAGAGGTTAGACAGTTTCTTGGATTTGCAGGGTATTACCGGAGATTTGTGAAGAACTTTGCTGCAATCACCAAGCCCCTGTCAAGTCTTATGCCTCCACCAACACAGACAAAGAGAACACAGAAGAAAGTTGCCCAACAGCCGTGGATATGGGGATCTGAGCAAGAGAAGGCATTCCATCACTTAAAACAGCTTCTGGTTTCGCCTCCTATTCCCAGCCTCATGAGACTACAGCCTACCATTTGGGCTCCATACAGATGCTAGTACACATGGACTGAAGGCTGCTCCTCTATCAAGAGCAGGATGGAAAGAAGCGAGCTATTGCATATGCCAGTAGAGGACTAAACAAAGCTGAGAAGAACTACTCTGCACATCGTCTTGAGTTCCTGGCTTTGAAGTGGGCAATTACTGAAAAGTTCAACGATTACCTCTATGGTACCAAGTTCAGAGTTTATACAGATAACAACCCGTTGACCTATATTCTAACCTCAGCTAAACTTGGCCTTAACAGGACATAGATGGTTAGCATCCTTGGCAGCCTATGATTTTGACATCAAGTACGGCCTGGAATCAACAATGCAGATGCAGATGGCATGTCCGATCTACCAGACCTAGAGACAAGTGGAGGAAATGAGGCATATGCCAGGCGACTCTGTAAAGGCTGTGTGCAACATCATTCATACCCAACCTTATGTTGAGAGTTTATGTTTGCAGGCTGGCGTTACTCTGGAAGAGAACTTAGACACTATTGGTGTCCCTTTTAGCCAGGATGTCAAAACAGGACTGGGAGAAAGGCACAGTACCAGGACCTTATCTTGAGACAATGGACAAGATGTTTACAATCCAACAACAAACCAAGGAGACAGGATTTCTGTGATTCCCCTACACATTCAGCATTGCTCAAGATCTCTAGGAATCTTCATCTTGAACAGGGAATTTTGTACAGAGAAGTGTCAATTAACGGACAAACTAGACAGCAGTTAGTTTTACCAGCTGAGTACATCAAAGATGCATTAGAAGGCCTTCATGACAATATGGGTCATCCAGGACGAGACCGAACTTTGTCTCTCTTGAGAGACAGATTCTTCTGGCCAGGCATGTCTAAAGATGTTGATGAATTGATTACAAATTGCAGGAGATGCATCTGCCGGAAGACTCCAACCAACCAGAGAGCTCCACTCATAGGAATTGAAACAACTCAGCCACTAGAGTTAGTATCCATGGATTTCTTGGACCTTGAACCATGCAAAGGAGGGAAACACTGTGTGTTAGTTGTCACGGATCATTTCACAAGATATGCACAGGCATATGTCACCAACAACATGACAGCTAAAGCCACAGCAAAAGCTTTCTTTGACAACTTCATCGTGCATTATGGGATTCCACAGCGCATACACTCTGATCAAGGTGCCAACTTCGATGGAAATCTTATAAAGGAATTGTGTTTATTAACCGCATGAAGAAATCCAGAACAACACCATATCATCCCATGGGTAGCGGCATGTCGCGAGAGGTTTAATCGCACATTATGTGATATGTTAGGAACTTTGTCCCCTGACAAGAAAAGCGATTGGAAATCTCACATTGGGCCTCGTACATGCTTATAATTGCACACGGCATGATTCAACTGACAGTCCACCGTTCTTCTGAATGTTCGGGTGAGAACCACGTCTCCTCTCGATCTTGCCTTTGGTTAGAACTTGGAATGACACAGACGTCACTCACTGAGTATACCAGATCACTCAGAAAACGATTGAAGGACTCATATGAACTAGCTTTGGCTTCAGCTAAAACATCTCGTGACAGGCAGAAGAAAGGATATGACATGGTGAGAGGAGCCGCTTTCTGCAGACTGGAGATCGCGTACTAGTAAAGAAATTGGCATTTGATGGTAAACATAAGCTTTCGGACAAGTGGGAGGAGGATCCTTACATTATTCTGTCCCAGCCTAATCAAGATGTTCCCGTCTTTGTAGTGCAGAAAGAGAATGGTGAAGGTCGACAGAAGACTTTGCATAGGAATCTCCTTTTGCCAATCGGCACTCTTCATGGCTTTGATAACGCTGAGTCATCACCTGAAGCAGAGTCTCCAACATCAGACCCAAACCCGTACCAAGGCCAAGACGATCTAGACCACAACCAAAGTCAGATAATGTACTACCAGTTGATAACACCAACCAGGAAGACATCATTGTAGAGATCCACAAAAATAGAGGTGCTGCAGCTTCTGGTATTCCTACAGATACCAAACAGGATGTTTCTGCGAATCACGGATACTGCTACTCAGGCTTAAAGTGGTGGCGATCATGAGGCTGAGATAGCAGTGGAACATATCTCTGGTGACTCCGGTCACATCCCAGGAGAGGGAGAAACAGAGATGAATCCTTCTGATGCTGAAGTGGATGAAGACGCTGGTGTTAATACTCCAGATCTACACAGAGATGATGTCATTCCTGAGAATGAAGAAGCAGGAGCAAATAATGATGTTCTGGACTCGGCGTGTCTTCACCTGAAGCAGTTGAAGAAATGGACACCGCAGATGACTCTGCTCCAGATGCTAATGGATTCGATGTTGTTCCACAAAGGTCAACACGTGCTAGGCAACCCCCTAGTTGGGTGCGTTCGGGACAGTATGCACTTAGCCATATCACAGCAGAACCAGATTGGATGGCTAGGGTTCGGTACCTAGAGCATTTAACCAATGCTGGAACATTAGAAGAGACTGCACCGGACATCACGAAAGCTTTTCTAAACATTCTCACTCGCCAGAACACAGAATGACAGAGACGTCATTTTCCTGGGGAGGGAAGAATGTAGGAGTATGTAATTATGTATATATAAGCAAGTATATTTTAATTTGTATTTTAATCACTAAGTCTAGCCCTAGCTTAACCACTCAATCTAACCTGCTTCACTTTCACAATAGCACTCTCACCCTTGCGCTTACATTGTCTATTGTATCTATTGTCTTGTCCCAGCCCCAGGCCCCTAGTTTCAATAGCAGGGTGTTTTGTGGGTCAGCTATCATTTTCCCTTCAGTCTGTCTGGTCACTGGTCACAGCTAGCAACAGCTTATAACAGGTTAGTTTATATATGGATTGTGTATTTTATGTTTTCATGTTTAGTGTGTATGTATTATTTCTTAACTTCCTTTAAAGCATGTATCATGTTATATGTGGTAAATAATAATCAAATTAACTATCTGTTACATGCGCCAAACTTGGCATGAATGAATGAATGTATGTATGAGGGGAAGGCTTATTAGAACAGATATTTTATGTACAGTAGATTGATAATGTACAGAAGTAGAATGTTATATATTATTGGATTTGTATATGTTTATGTTCAGGTGTGGCAAACATATTTCCTGACGTTTGTGGCGATAACGGGCACAGTGCCATACACTCGGTGAGGGTTCCTTTGTATTATATTGTAAACAATCATGTTATGCACTTGTATGATGCCACATGTGTATCTTCAAATATAAACATTATATACAATTGTAGAACTTATTGCTAAGCCTCACATGTATTGTAGCGCATTTTGATGCAATGTATTTATTCCTTTATAGGGCCTTCTTCAGTTATTGCCAATAAACTGACATCTACGAAACATATTCGCCTTTGTGGTATCTACAAAACCACTCCGGTTACATAAACATTCTGATTCATCAAAAAGAAACACACAAAAAATGCACTGAGGGGTTGATTTGTTAGATATTACGTCAATTTTAATTTTCTCAATATGTTGGAGGGGTGTGTTATAGTTCTTACTGAATCATATATTTTTCTGTGCCTGTGCAGGCCTTAAGTAGTAAAAACATATTTTTTTGCAGTACCTCATGCACTTTCCTCTGGGTGTACGTGTGTGTGTGTAGGTGTCGAGAGGTGTTGAGTCAGAAGAAAAAAAAAAAAATTTAGGAACATGCAGTGAGTACAATCGAGCAACAATACCATTCTTCCTACGCCTCTGATCACACGCACACGTATCAAGTGACCCTATTTTCTTGAGACAAACAGATGTGAAATATGAACCGTTGTTGTGTAGGTGTAGATCTTAGCCATATGGAACTTCTCTATCCCTTGATCTATATGGATCTACCAAGATTAAAACAATTTCACCATCATCCACTTTAAAAGATACCTATACGGGTTTTCATGACAACTTATTTAGGGTTTGATACTGTCGCAATTAGGAGATAAAATTTAGTACAGAAGTAAACACTCTTCAACACGTTGACTGACACCACGAGTATACGAGTTCGTAATATCAACGTCTATTCGAATTTACCACTACGAGTTATCTCGATTGTAGCTGCATCAGCATCATTTGAAAAAAAGACCAGGTTTCACAAGCTTGGTAAAACAGGTACAAGAAGCAATCGTCTCCTGGCAGTAACAAAGAATGTCAGGAGACGTTTGTTTCTTTGTACCTATTTTGCCAGCATGTGAAAACTTGTTTTAAAATACAGTTGATGCAGCTACGAGATAACTCGTAGTGGCAAACTCGAATAGAATTGGCAGTAATACGAGTATACTCGTGAGACACAAATCAACGTGTTTAGACTATAAATATTCCAGGTCTAAGGTCATTTCCCTCGCTATAACACACTCAATGTAATGTCTCAGAGAAATGTCCGTGTGTGCGTTATAACGAGTCAAGTAAGAAAGAGTTCCGCCCGTATCCACCAAACCCCCACCCCCCACCCCACCCCCCACCCCCACACACCCCCACCCTCTCCAAACAAAATTCATTCTTTCCGGGGGATCCTTTCCCTGGAGGGTATATTGAAAAAGGGGCGCTTTCATAATTTTTTTGGGGGTGGAAGCGTTTAATGGGGGTTTAGATATTTGGGGGTATATTAAAAAAGGGGGGGAGGCAAAAATTACTTCCTGCTGGTCCTTATTCTTCCATCCTCCCCGATTCTATACATCCGGTTTCAGCTATCATTTACTGCAGCACACATCAATTGAGTTATCTCCCTTCATGAATTACATTGCAAATGTTTGTGTCTTACCTGGGATTCGATCCACTGTTCTCTATCTGTCTTTGCTTCCGGTCATCTGAGCTTCCGTAGTGTGATCACAGCTGTTTTGTGATTGACGAGAAAAGCTGATAGTTTCTTGATTTTATGTTTAGCGATATTGTTAGTGTGACGTATAGAGAACTTTCTTCACAACTGATGTTGTGCACTTTCAGTTTTGTGAAGGTGTCTGTTGACTTCAGTGTATTTGCTTGTGTGACCTAGATTTGTACACGCCTATTTCATGCGCTGTATGATAGCTTCGTATATAACTTTTATAACATTTATAACTTGTGTGATTGGGCGCATTATGTGTTCTGGCAGATGTTGCACGAGATTTGAGCCTATGTATTGACTTGGAAAGGTAAAATCGACTTCTTTCTTGCCTTGAAACTGAGAACATACGAACATACAGCTACCATGTCCTCAGATGACATTTTTCCACCAAATTTGCCTCGCTCACGTTCACATTCAAGTGAAAGCTCCCTATATCCTCTGTTGGATTTGTTATCATCGGGTGACATCACCCCAGGTCAACATAGACTGAGAGACGATTCCGACGATGACTCACCTATTTTTTTTTGCAGGTTACTCCCGACTTTATGACTGAAGAACATACGAATGACGGCCAGGCATCTTCTGTAAGTTCCGTCTCCAGCACGGGTTAGTCTCACTTACTAACACATGAGTTTAGGGTGAGGTTTCCACAAGTGTGTTTTACGGTGTTTTACCAGCACAAGCTCACTGCCCTAACTGTCACCAAGTACTAACACGCACATATGGTATTAACAGAAAGGGTGAGAAAGTGGCTTTCATATTTCAATGTAATAAAAAGGTATGCAACAAATGTAACAAGAACCAAGTTCCTGCACGGAGGAGTACATGGTTTTCTGGTTCCAATTTGTCTTTGAATAAGACTATTCTCCTCCCTTACTGTTTTGCTCATAAGATGAGTTACAGTGACACAATCATAGAAATCAGTATTGATTGTGATAAGGATGGGAGAGTACAGGAAACATCTAGAGAAACTGTAGCGGACTATTTCATGTACTGTCGGGAGGTATGCTCTTCGGTCGTGGAAAGGAACAGTTCGAACATGATAGGGGGTCCGGGCTAGACGGTAGAGATGGATGATAGTACGTTTGGTAAACGTAGGTATCATCGGGGTAGAGTAGTCGAGGGCCAGTGGGTTTTGGGTGGAATTTGTAGATAAAGTAGGGAATTATTTTTGGTGCCAGTGGACAAACGTGACAAACAGACGCTTGAGAGGATCATCACGGACAATATAGCTCGGGGTAGTCACATTATTACGGACGGTTGGAAGGGTTACGACGGACTTGGTGACCTCGGATATATTCACACCAACGTAAACCATTCGGAAAATTTCAAAGGTATTTCAGCATAATGTTGGTATTTATAATGTTCACGTCTTTGTACTTTGTTTTGCCTTCTGAAATTGTATAATTGTAAATAATTCCGTTTTAACCACTTACCGATCCAGTGACCGCTGCATGCACCAATTTACTAGAAAATAGATGGTGGTGCGTGAAGCGACAGCTACCGGCCTCACATAATCGGTGGGGTGATTTCACGCTTCACCTCGCCCAGTACATGTACCGATGTCAAACAAGAGGAGAATAATGTTATTTCATGTGATGCTCGTTATATTATATGATTTAGTTGTGAGGAATATGTGATATTTCCGCTTCCTCCTTGCCAGGTGTCATTGCGTCTTTCGTGGGTGAATGATAGTGTTCTATTCCCAGGGGGTGTTTCAAGTGTGTTACCCAATCGTATTAAGTTTCTATTTTGCCCTCACGTTATTGAATGTTGGTTGCATTTTTTTATAATCCTACCACTGTCATTGCGTTTTAATCATATTTTAGAAGGGGGGATACGGGCGGAACTCTTTCCGGGAATCGTGTCACTGCGGGGAAATTCAGTGTTTTGGACTTCATGAAAATATTATAAAACATTTTCATAGTAGGTCCTGTGAAGAGCCCTGATTGGTTTTTTTTCAAATTAGTAGTCTACAATTACATGAATATGTGTGATATTCATAAATCCCGACTAGTAGAAGACAAAATTATTCCCATAGCTTTTATAGTTTGCATTTTTGACTTTTCTCTGAGTGTAAGTAATGTGGTAAATTATGTCACACACCGTGTTCTCTCAGAGGGTTTAAGATAGCGACGATCTTCCACTATGACTAGTTCTTACAGCAGAAACACGTAGACAAGAAATGACTAAGGGGGGCGGGCATGTGTTTCTTTTCCTGTGCACGCCTTAGTAAAAACATATCTTGCAATAACTCATGCACTTCCCTGTGTGCACGTGTGTATATATGTATGTGTGTGTGTAGGTGTCTAGATGTGTAGGAAAGCTGAGTCAGACGTAATATGCAATCGTGCAACAATAGCATTTGTACATTTCCGATAGCCCATGTATGTACCAAGTGACACTATTTTTTTTAACAACAGATGGAATTCACACCATTTGGATGTCGGAGTTGCGCAGGCGATCTGATGTATACCGTTTGCTTCATTACCCTCACTATAACACACCCCGTGTAATTTCCAGAGCACGATCTGGAAAACCTCGCCTCCGTGCGTTATAAAGAGTGAGGCAATTTTCACCGTGGAGGGAGAATTCAGTGTTTTGGATTTTATGAAATATAGACTTAGCCTGTCTTAGTCCAAAATGAAATGACTGAAGAGCTACGATTGTGTTTTAAAATTAGTAATCTACAATGAGTTGAATATTTGTGATATTCATTGTTCCGGAACTAGGAGAAAACAAAACTACAACTCTAGCGGCTAGTTCGAATTATTGACTGCTCTTTTGTGTCGTTTGGTTCAATATATATGGCAAGTGTGGGTTTCTGTCGGTCGTCATCGCTTGACTGCAGGACATAATTCAAGTCGAAGAGTGTAGATGACTACCAAAGAGGTATGTGTCTTTTTATGATTGATTAATGACTATAGGAACTAACGAAATGAGTATTTTAAAGCGTTGGAATTCCAAAACCTTTGTGTGCGCATACTTAGTGTATAGATGTGACCGTTGACCTACTTGAACTTGAATTAGTAAGCATAAAATGTGGAGACCATATATTGTGGTTACAAGAATAATTTTCACGAATTACGTTTACGTCTGATATCTTCCAAAAATGTATGTACAAGTTGAGAAATGTACCTATGATGGTCCAAAGATACGTGTGTTAACCAATGCTAGCATCGTGACAGGTTCAGTGTATTTGATACACATAACATTGAACATTCTCTTTCAGCATGTTTCCAGCACTGTGATCATCACCTCGACTCGCAGACCATACTGTTTTCTCCGAGATTTACTGATCATGGTATCAGGTTTGATGCATGCTAAAACAAATGACAGTACACTCACAACAATGATATGTTAACAAATATTTTTTTATTACTATTATCTATATGTTTTAACATAGGATTACATTATGGTTGTTTATCACTAACTAAACACTTTTACAAAGATTCCAAGTTTCTAGGGTTTCCAGGTATGCCAAGCCCAGGTTTGCGTTTTATGTACAGTCTTTTCGCACTCTGGTGTTCTGAGGTTTTACTGTAATTCCTCAAGAGATGTTTGGGCACGCATAAACTTACAAGTAATTTACGAAACTCCTTATAGCCAGTTGGTCTTTTCTTTTTTGACGCAGACTCGGAACCAAGAATAGAATATCGAATCAACTTTGTGAGGTTTGAATCTTTCAACACGTTTCCATTTGGCAACACAATCTCTAAATTATCCGTCACTATCATGTTGCCTGCGTCGACTTTATGTTTGACAAACAGAAACAGAGACATTACTTTTCCCATAGTTCTCTTAGATTTAATGTTCTTCAGAAGATGATCAAGAACTGTATACAAAAAGTCACTGCTGTTGTTGACAGGTTTCCGGTTCCCATCGCATACATCGTTCCTCGAGGCAATGTAGCGTGTCGATTCATTCGCTGTCTGAGGAGGAAGAGGAGGCACTGTCGTCTGATGTTCCGGATTCCTCTCCTGACTCGCTGTCGCTGTCTATATCATCGATGACTTGTTGTCTTCCTGTTTGGACATCAGACTGTTGTAGGTGTCCCTCGACAGGAGCATCATTGCCTTGGCCATGACGAGTGAGCGACAGGTAAGCCAGTAAAATTCTTATGCACACACAGAGAACTGTATGATGTGAGACCAGTAGCTGACGTTTCTCACGACTTCTCACCGTCCTGTTCGCTAGAGTCCTAATGAGCTTTTTGTATCGTCGCAGTCGAATTTTATCAGGATCGGGGATGGGTATGATACCGCGTAGGATGATATATATCATTGTGATAATAGCTTTGAATTGTTCACCAGAAAGATGTGTCAGCAAAGCTTTCCTTTGCTTGGTGTTGACCTGTTCCAACGTGCGTAGAAAAGACACGTGTTTTTCCACGAGTTCGCTCATAATGTAGGATTTGAAACAATCGTGGTTCAGATGGCCGATAAGTTGTCGCGGATGAATTTTTACTCCGTTCAATCACAAAATAGATTGTGCCTCCCCAACGATTCGGAGGAATGTTGATACATCGAGTTTTGACAACACCTTAAAGCTCGTCGATAGCTTGTGACTTTGCTGGCATACCACTTTTCACACTGAAGCAAACTACTCTCCGACGATGTTGTTGGTGCGTAAAGCCACTGCGATATACCTTCTTGTCCATACTCGAATCACAAACTGATTCTTTATTCAAGATGTGTTCCGCTATATAGCTATTTTGGTAAATACACTGTGCACACATCTCCAGGAAATATCCCGTTCGTAAACGACCGTAGCGCTCGTCGGCATAGGGAGATGCATCGATGAGTAGATAGTTGTATTTCTTCCCCTCTATGGCATCTTTCAACGATTCGCTGAAATACTTGGATTGTCCGGGGAACATTTGAGAAGCCAAGATTTTGTATTCGTGAGCTGACCTTGGATTAGAGAGAAGAATGAAATAATGAGTGTTTAAGGACATGGTTCTGTTGCATTCGCCTTTGGGATAAGCCGACTGTTGAATATTGATCACCGTGATGCCTAAATGATGAGAGAGAGTAGTATACAGGTGCAACATGAGTTGATTCTTACATATCTGCATCATTAAATCATCAAAAACCAGCAACACATGTTTTTCCGACTGAACAGACCAGGATCTCAATTCATCTTCTGTGGGGAGTGTGTCGTGAAACTGAATGTTGGGGATGGAATGTTGCATGTCACTGTACACATCTTGCCAAACTGCATAGCAATACACGATCGAGTTGGGCGGTGGTTGAAACGTGTCCTCGGTGTGTTCCAACATCCGTTTTACCAAATGGGTCTTGCCAGATGAACTTCCTCCTATGATAGATATACTTATAGGTGTTGGAAACGGTAGTAAACAAGAGCTTTCTGCAACAGTAGGTCCATCATTAGAGTGATCCATGGCTATACCGTACAAATGTCCTGAGACAACTGAACTCATCGTGGTCCGTGCACATGGACTTATACCATTCACAACATAAAGCTATTTTTCTAGTCTAATTTTATTATTATTGATGTTTTCCACGAGTACAACATATATTCAATACTATAATGGACAGAATTCAGTACTGTGTCATGAACAGCATTTGAAACACAAAACAATATTCACTAATATTACATATATGTCTGATTAGTACACGATAAACACGAATCTGCACAATATCTGAAATAGTGACAAATAAATGTGGATATGTATTCATCATTGATGAAATGATCATTCGTATCAAACTGTCGTACAATGTCATTCAGGCGTAAATCGGCTTTGAATTTACTTAAAAGATAGTACAATGTAAACAGACCACATATATTCGATTTGGAAGATTGTAATTGTTTTGTGTTGCGAGTGTAGCAGCTACTATTTAGCAGCCCTCGTGTAAACGGTTCTCTGTGTTGACGATTAGTCCAACGCCTTTAGCACGCATGCTCGGTGTGAGCACGGGTAGAGTGTCTTTAGCAAAAACGCCTAGGACACGAGATCGTAAACTCGGGTCGCATCGTACGGCACATCGAAGCTGTGAAGCTTTCATTATCATCTGGTGATTACTTGACAAACACGTTGCGGGCTTGGTCGATTTCAATGAGGGAATTTCGCTGAGTCAAGACAACGCAACTCAGCGTGCTGGTGAGCGCCGACTTGAATTCCAGTTCGAGCCTCACGCTTCCCGATTTCACCAAGTTCAGGTACTCCGACTCGGCGCACATTGTGTCGATGTCGAAGACGAACAAGGCATTCCCCAGGAGAAATTCGCTTCTGGTGATGGCATTGCCCTTGTCTTCCTTCCACAGTCCCATGCCGTCGAGCATGTTGACGTAAGAGGAGACATCGTCCGCTTCGGCGGGTTGACCCGGCACACTGACTCCGTCGATGTACAGCGTTATCTTTTTAAGCATGGACGACTTGAAATTATAGGGATTGCCGGTGTAGCTGCCGTTCAGACTCGAACTTTCCACCAGTCCCACGACGTATCGGTTGGCGACGGGATTGCTGACGTTGTCTATGGTGTGCGTCTGTTGTGTGGTCGGGATGCTGGTCACCTTGACTTCGCTTTTGGTGTACGGGTAGAGAGCGTTCGATTTTTCGAAAAGTGTGTTGTGAGCCAAGATCAAGGCGGGGTTGACTTTGACCTTGCACACCTCCAGATAAGCGTCCAAGAGTTGAACTTTGAATTCGTGATCAGTCACGTCGCTCATCAAACAAAATTTGGGTTCCGATCTGAACATTTTCAAAGTCAGGTCCACGTCGTTGGGGAGGAGTCGGTTGACGTCGAAGATGTCCTCGTACACGGGCCCCGACATGGTGAGTTCTTTGCTTTTTGCGCTATGAAAGTGCCACGTAATGACATTCCCGAATTGACAGATCCGGTGACGTTACTGCTTTCCAGATCCGCGTCCCCCTGGGCAAAATCCTTGGCGAACAGCTGCGTCCCCAACTGAGTGTTTTTCGCTTCCGCACCATATCCCAGCAGGGCCCTCATCATGCTCTTGTAGGCGTAATGGTTGTTGGTACTGGACACGAGCTGGTTCTGCAGGTAGACCGAGACCTGGGAGAACAGCGACTGCATAAACAAGTTCACTGGGGCCACATTTTCGTCCTCTGCCAAGGCCGTGCCATCGGTCTGTGTTACTTTGACTTTGACGTGCAAACGGGTGCGCCTCAGATCGGTGTAGTCGGGGCCTGAGTTGGTCACTTGAAACTCCAACGGGGCAGCATCGTTGATTTGGCTTAAAGGTCGCACGTTCACGAAATAATGTTTCTGTATGCTAGTCTGATAAGGAGGTAGCGTGAACAGATTAAGGGACTCTGGAACGAGCTCGTCGAATTCGTTATCGTTGATGAGTGACATGACGGCTCTATGTTCCTATAATGGACGTCTTTAACTGAAGATATCGTTTTCTTGCACGGGAGTACACTGGAGCGCTTTGGCCGTCTTGGAAGGTGTAGCGTTGTTGTCGGTTCGACGTATCTTCTTCGTTGTGACGCACCTTTCGCCCGCCTTGCGTTTTAAAGCCTTCTGTCTTTTGTCTTTGGCCCCCGCTCTCTCTACCTCGCTTTGCGATTCTGACGTCATTTGCAAAGTTACCTTGATCGGGTCACGGTGCTGTTGTTGTTGTTGTTGTGTTCCTGCTTGACGAGCCGGGATCACCAGCTTTTTTGCTTTCCCGTGGAGCAGATGAGATGTTTTCCTCGCCTGTTTGTTATCGAAATACTGTTTAAACTTGACGTAGTCTGGGAAATACAGTGGACGTGAATCCATGTTGTTTTTTTTTACTCCACAAAAGGATAACGTCTTAAATGAAGTGTAGCGTAGGTCTCTTCCGTTAAGAATGAAGCTGTAGACGCATTTTCTGACTTTAAATACAATTCGATATTGTCAGTGTCTTTCAATTTGACACGAATGTTAAATTCAGTACCAAAGGTGTAGGTAGGTCCCTGTCTCAAATCGATGCGTCTCAATAAAGCCAGTTGAGTTTCGCCCGCCAATGTACTGTCGCACAGGTTACACAACACGTCTACGTAATGATCCGTGACCTTAGTCAGATCCACCTTTCCAAAGTTCAACTCCGTTAAGGATACCACCCAGAATCCGTCGAAGACTAACCTTTGATTTAATTTGACACGAAAATGATGGGGTGTATTATCCGGAAAGGATGTCGTTTTGGAGTCAGAGCTTTTGAGAAACACATATTTCTCCATATTTTATTACACTTCTTTCAATTCGCTTTCTTCCACGTACGAGTCGAATGACTTAGGCCAGCCGACCCATCGCACCAGAGCGTATGTCTTCCCCTTGACTTTTTTCCTTTTAAGCACTTTCTCGACTTGCCAGAGCGCATCCGCTGCTTTGCTCACCTTTTGAAGCTCGTTTGTGTAAAAAGACCCTATCAAGGATTCGTCGTGAAAATCTTTGAGTTTGTACTGAGGAAACCCCTGTTTCCTGTAACGTCGAGCCACTTTGAAAAGCTCCTCCGTCCACTTGAGGTCGAGTTCCTTGCTGAAAGGTTTCCTGAGGTATGAGATGCGAACCAGATCACCTACTTTAAATAAGTATTTCTTGATTTTAGGTTTGCTGACTTTTCTCAAAGGTTCCAGATAGATATGGTTCCACACTTTCACTTCGTTGGTTTTATTGACGCGTGCTGGAGAGAGTTGGGGTAAAGACGAATGTGGGGTATGATTGTAGTTGTTCACTAAACCCGGTAGAGCGTCCAGATAATGTTTGGTGTTATTACGGGTCATGTACCGTGTGATCAACGATTTCAGCGTCCTGTTAAAACGTTCCACGTAATTACTTTTTATGTTTTCATTGCGGGCTATGGTGAGTTTTATCTTTTGTTTTTGCAAAAACGTCTTGAATACACCCTTAAATTCACTTCCGCCGTCCACTCTCACTTTCCTAGGACGTCGTTGCTTGAGGATTTGTTTGAAAGCACTCAAGACAGATTCGGGCCTTTTATTTGACAGGGGGAAAAACAAATGCATACCTACTTAGTATGTCAATAGCCACAAGCAAATAACGTACACCCTGATTCACTTTGCTGTAGCGTGAAAGATCGGCGAGGTCTAAGTCAAACATCTCATTGACGGAATTAACCCTCACTCTCATGCGTTGGAATTTATGCCTGACTGGTTTGTGTAAACTGTAAGCATCTTGGTTCTTGACAAACCCCTTGACCTTTCTTAGTTTAACGTCGGCTGGTCTGTTCGCCTTTAACACATCGCGCAGTTTGGAGGGTCCATAATAAGCCCCTGGTTTGGTGGGGTTATAATAATACTCCGATAATGCTTTCTCGTGCCTCCTTATGAATGTCTTGTTCCTCCGTTGAGAACTCATGATGGACTGCGACAAGACATGGCAAATGGGTAAATATATATAAACATATATTATCATATATAACACAACAGCAAAAGACTATACATGTGTAGTTTATTGACTCTTAAGCATTCTCTTGCTACACATCAGACATCCATCATTTTGAAAGTCTTTTTACCTATAGGAAGATTGATATGTATCAACATTCGTCCGTTTTAAATCTGTTTTCCAAAAATAACATCTTATGCACACGTGATTTCAAATCATGAACCCATTCCGCGGTTTTAAACTGTGAGTCACGATAATCTTTGCACTGAAAGGGAACCAAACTGAAAGCAGTGACCGTGTTCAAGGATGAGTCATCAGTTAGCAAGTTCATCCATCTGTCAATCACGTGATCATCGTTCACCTCGGTCATGGCGGCGTTAAAGTACTTGTCCACTTGCTCCTGTTCTGACAGGTCGCGACAAGTATGGACTAGTTCTTCGTCAAACATGCACCCAAAACACAGTTCCCACGAAAGTCGTCTCACGATCTTCGTGACCTCGAAACTGTAACACAAAGTCAGAAGTGCCTCTGCATGTTTTAGTTGATTCACCATGACCACTTCGTCTGCACACACAGCAGCCACTTTCCTGGACTTTTTTACGATCACTCGTTGGGTAGCATTGTGTTCGTCCTGAAATTTTCTCTTCGCATCCTTCAAACATTCACGTCTGTCTTGGAACCATTCATTGGATTGCGTTATGATGGACTCTTTCAGACAATGTGGTGCTCTCATCACTTGCTTCCAAGTGTAGAAGGTCGCTCGATCATCTGACGTCCTGTTTATATAATAAAAAATATATATATTCACATTCACCGATGTTGAGAAATTAGTTCATGAACACAAAAATAACCTCTCCCCACCAGGAATACCTTTCTTTACAGTTTCCCTTTTTTTTTTTTCAATTTTTTTCGTCAATTTCCAACTGGTTAATGTTGACTTATTGGTCATAGTTTGGTGTACAAGAATACAAACCATTTCTACGCTTCTTGTTCTCATGGTATCTGTTCAGTATGTGTCGACACCTGCACAAGATGCGAGAGCTGGACGAACACCGGTTTTTCTGCCAATTGGATCTTCTCATTTGCATGAACACTAATCTCCTCTGATTGATTTATTTCCAAAGTCAACAGTCATGTCAACTGGAGTGGTTGAGTTATCTTTCACACTGACCGTGACAATCGCGACTTTATTTTAGGGTTAGGAAGTAGATACCCCAAGCAGCTGCCCAACAATGCTATCCATACATTTGAGTTTTCTTTATTCAGGGATAAGTTAACAATGCAGGTAATCACACGATATAGATAGATAATACAAATTTGAGAAAAAATACGGTTTCTGTCTTTGATACGATTCTACCAAATAGTCTCCAGGACTCTATAGACCTAGTCCTATCTAGAGGTTGTGCCTCTACGGTGTCTTCCATGCTTATGAAACCATGACTCATGGTTTATTGCTTTTTATATTACCATGGCATGGTATCGATCAATATGTACACCTAATGTCTATAAAACTATGAACTTATCAGAAAAAAAAAGGGGTGACAGGTGGTCGCTAGTGTTTGAGCAGCATACGTTTGACACATTGTGATAAAAATAATTCCACTGCAATACGATTTATTGACACACCCAATCTCTCTAGCTCCATATACAATGAGTAAACATTACATCGTGAAAACTATCGAGTTATCGGAAGCTCCCCTTTGTCTAAACAAATCAACTCGTCCCCACCCTCTTGGTAAGGTCACTGCAACTCCCTCCTCCCAAGACTCCTAATGTTTAGTTTACAAATAACATTCTCTGTGTGACACCAATGCTTCAATTCAACTGCTAAACACTCTTTCGTTTTCAAAAATGAGAAAAAAGAAAACAAAATGCACAAACCTTGCTGACATGATACACCGTGTTACAAGCACAACTTCTGTCTTTAAGAGCTAGTCGATGAAATGACTTTTAGGCGCAAATGCGTGTGTATGTGTGTATGTTATGATGTTGACGTATTTGAAATTCATTGGTTGATAGGTTTCAAGTTTATCACGTGTTTGCTAAAATCATAAATGATTGGATCTAACTGTGTAACTGTTGACACTTTTTTATTGTTTTGAATATTTCAATGTTGGTTCCTGTAAGTGGTTGAAAATTCATGGGTTGATAGGCTTTTTGTTTATCACGTGTTTACTAAAATCATAAATAATTGGATCCATGATGAAATCATGTTCATTACACAAGGAATGACATACACCAACAAGAAATTGGATATAAAAACATACTTTATTGATGTATTTTTTGTTTTTGTTTCGAAAATTATACAATGAGTTGAATATCTTGTTGACAAAATACTTTTTACACTCATGATTAATATCA